GGAAAAAAACAATTAAAGGCAAAATTGGTATTACTTTCGTTCTTAGAAATTGGTATTATTTCTAAGAAGTGTCTTTAGAAATAGAAAGTGTTTATAATGTAACGGAAACTTCATAAAGTGCCGTGTAATCATCCCCTTTTAATTTTGGAGCATGAACACACATTAAGGACACATGTACGAGAGAATCTTGATTATTTATATGGTTCCAAATGTTTGTACTTATTAATTAACGCTTATTTTGTTGGAGAAAGACACATATTTTCAATAATTACTACAAAACCTATACACCTTTGAACGCTTCAACACCCTCTCAATCTCCCATCTCTCTCACAGCGTCCATTCATTTTCGAGATCCATTTTGCCCTAAATCTCTCATTACAAACTCAGAAATCAACACATTCTTCCACGATTTCTTGTGTCACAAGCAACAAATCGGGTTTTTCGAGGTGATATTTGGCTAATGCATGAGAAAACCACAAAGGAGAGGAGCGATGGCGATGGAGAAGTCGAGCTCAAAGTACAGAACACAGTTCTGGTACGTGGCAATGGCCTCTTTCCTTCTCTGGCTTTTCTTGCTTTACCTTTTCAATTCTTCCGCAACAACCGTTCATAACCACGAGAGATTGTTCCGACAAGAAAACGTCATCGATCTCGGTGTCGTGCCACAACACCACGAATCATCAGATCAACTTCCTGTTGCTGTCTCTCGTGTCGATAACAGCTCTCTTCCTGTCTCCGTCGTTGATTCGTCTCGGGAGGATCAGATGTCAGAAGACGCCAAGGTTGTGACCGATCTCGTTGAGGAATTGGAGAAAGAAAAGGTTGAGAATGAGAAGAAGCGAGGTGATTCGGTTTTGAGTGGTCGGTCTTCGAGGGCGAGGAAAGGACATCAACGTGAATCATTGCGAAAGGCGAGATCTTCGGGTATATTGGAGGCAGATAAGAAAAGGGTTGGTCATAATGATAATGATAATGAGAGCAATGTGGATAATAGTAGTGATGAGAATCATCAATCATCCAACAAAGAACCAAACTTTTTCGAGTCTAAGAACGATGTGAAATCACATAAAGAGCAAGTTGATGATAATGACGACGATTCCGAGAGCAATAGAGGTAATGAATTGTCGAATGATCGGTCCAATAATGATCTGGAAGTTGATAACACCTCTGAAATAGTATCCGAGTCAAAAACTCAGAGATATAATAATACTTCTGAGGCCAAAAACAGATTAAATTCCAAGAGAAATCAACCTAGGAGAGTTCGGAAAGTCATGGTACGGCCAAGAGCAACGCGACGCAACGATCCTTGTGCAGGAAAATACGTTTATATGCACGATGTTCCAACTTTGTTTAACGAAGAGCTTCTTAAGAATTGCTGGACATTGAGTAGATGGACCGATATGTGCGAGTTAACATCAAATTTCGGTTTAGGCCCTCGTCTACCAAACATGGAGGGAGTTTCTGGTTGGTTTGCCACAAACCAATTCACATTGGAAGTGATATTTCACAACAGGATGAAGCAGTACAAGTGTTTGACCAAAGACTCGTCTCTGGCTTCCGCGTTGTATGTTCCTTACTATCCGGGTTTAGACTTGATGCGGTTTCTGTGGGGACCGTTCCCTTTCATGAGGGATGCAGCTGCGCTTGATCTGATGAAGTGGCTGAGGGAGAGACCGGAGTGGAAGAGAATGGATGGTCGAGATCATTTCATGGTTGCTGGTCGTACCACTTGGGACTTTATGCGTACACCTGAGAATGAATCCGATTGGGGCAACAGGTACGTCACAAATTCTATTTCATGGTTAAAGTAATTTGATGATGGTACGAATAGTAGAATAACGCAATATCATAATGATTTTATGACGTTTGATTATTGTGTAGTGTTTCGAAAATGGTATACTAGACTTTAATCGGTAAATGACAAAATCATAGTTTGAATTGAAAATGTATGTATATTAAACAAGCTTGCTCATTGTTGTAACTCTTTCTCTCTACCTAGCCAGGTTAATGATCTTACCGGAAATAAGAAACATGACAATGTTACTAATCGAATCAAGCCCATGGAACTACCACGGATTCGCGGTTCCTTACCCGACCTATTTCCACCCTTCAAGCAACGCAGAGATCCTCCAATGGCAGAACCGAATGAGAAGAATCAAACGCCGTTACCTATTCTCTTTTGTCGGTGCACCGCGCCCGAACCTTGGTGATAGCATAAGAAGTGAGATCATGGACCAATGCAAAGCTTCCAGAAGAAAATGCAAACTTCTAGAATGTGTTTCAGGTTCTCAAAAATGCTACAAACCTGACCAGATCATGAAGTTCTTCTTGAGCTCAACATTCTGCCTACAACCGCCGGGTGACTCCTACACGCGACGCTCCACTTTCGACTCGATCTTAGCCGGTTGCATACCGGTTTTCTTCCATCCGGGCTCGGCTTACGCGCAATACATTTGGCATTTACCGAAAGATATCGCGAAATACTCTGTTTTTATACCGGGGAAGAACGTGAAGGAAGGTAAAGCGAGTATAGAGAAGGTTTTGAGTAGGATCCCGAGGGCGAAAGTTGTGGCGATGAGAGAAGAAGTGATAAAACTGATACCGAGGTTGATGTATTTTAACCCGTCGGGTAAACGAGGAGACGCGGGAAGGTTTGAAGATGCGTTTGACGTTGCGGTGGAAGGAGTGTTGCAGAGAGTTGAGGGATTAAGGAAGAGGATTGAGGAAGGGGAGGAGGAGATTTTTGATTTTCCGGAGCAGTTTTCTTGGAAATATAATGTGTTTGGGAATGTTGAGAGGCATGAGTGGGATTCTTACTTCGATAGGCTCTGATTGATTGATATGTTAGATTGTGTTTGGTTTTTCTTCTTTCATTTGTTGGGAATTAAGTGAATGTAGTTGTGATTGTGTTGGTAGAAAGAGTCATAAGGCCTTTTTCTGAATTGGTTTTGTTTGGGTCATACCTTTTTCAAGGGAATTAAAAGAGTGAGTAGATGAGTGACATTGTTCTGAGTGGGAATTAGTTTTAGGTTGCCAAAGGTGGTAGAATTCATTTTCGGTAATCAAAATTCTATCAATTTTTATTGATTACGAAGTAAAATAAACATTTTGGTGAAGAGAGCATCAAAGCGTCTGTAGTCAAACGGTTAGGATAATTGCCTTCCAAGCAATAGACCAGGGTTCGACGCTCGGTAGACGCATTCACTGATATATATGTTCACTGAGTTTTTCAACCTTATGGTTTCATTATTTTTATTTTATTTTTTGTCAACAACATGGTTTCATAATTCATTACACAAGAATTAAGGGAGATCACAAGTTCATTCCATTGAAAATCTACCAATGCTACTTCCTATCTTCAATATACAAAAGCATCAACGTCCAATGCATAACATAAGCCTTTTGGACCTGAATCTAGAATTTCGTGGCAGCGGATCCATCCATCACTAGCCATTTCCCTCTTTGCTTCAGTTGCTACCGTTACTCATTGTAATTCTTGGATTCTTCTAGCAACCTCTTTCGGTCGCATCCTCGAGTTCTTCATTAGGAAAGACATGAACGGTTCTTGTGGAAGAAGATAGGAGACGGCATTAACTTGGAACTTGTTGAATATCTCACCTCTCTATCTCCTCCTATGCAACGCTGCTATCGATCGCATCAACATCTATTCTTTAAATGCAGCTACAGTTCAGAGATTTGGTCTATCTTCTTCTGATCAGACTTGAATACTCCTTACATTTTAAATCTCCTTTACTATTAGCCAGAAAATCAACGTAAAGAAGAATGTGATTGCCACCACTCTTCTAATGACGGTCGTCTAAGCGAAGAACCTCCTTAAGTTAATAACAATAATCAGAAATATCATCATCAAGATCATGATTAGTCTCGCCATGTGTAGAGTGTGGAGATAAATCAGACTAGCGATACACAAGGAGTTAGGTGATCAGACTGACGCTGATGATGCGTCAATTGTCAGACGCTAAACCAACTACCAAACCAAATAAAGAGACCAAATTCAATCAGGATTAAGTGTTTGATCAATTCTTGTTTTAATTTCTTTGTTTCTTTTGTTGCACCATAATAACAGACGTTGTCTGTTTCCCTCTTTTTAAGAGCATTACACTTCACGTTTACCTTATTTCAATGTTTGCAATTTGCATCTTTGTTTGTAGAAACTTATGGTTCCGATTTACCATTTGCTAAATGTGGTAGACTGGTAGAGTCGTTCTAGTTTTGATCGAGGGATTTCCGTGACCACGACTGTCATTAACAGATTCAAAAAGAGCTTTCAAATGGTAGATAATCAGATAAAAATAAAATTATTATAAAAAGATAGTAATTATCCATTTATTATTATTCATTATATTGTTACTTCAACTTGAAGTATGTTTGCCGACTTATCTCTTTCCGACTTTCTCCTCCTATAAATAGGAGATATACTTGTGTTGAATAATAAGGTGAATTGGTTATTCGTTTTTTGTGTTCCTCTCTCGTCTCTCTATAGATATATAATACAAACACATATATGATCTATAGAACACACGTATTATCCCACTATAATAGTTAGTAGTTATAACACGTTATCAGCACGATAGTCTCTCTATCCGATCATATGCCAARAAGGTAAAAACGGTTTATRCCYGWTTCATASWASAMAKGTGAGATTTCGATTTATGAGTTTTTGATCTAAATTTAAATTTATGTATTATTTACGGAGTGATAGGTTATACCCCCTCCTTGATTTTATAGTAAGCTAGACTTACTAGTTATGAAAAGACATATAATAGGCTATGTTTTTTCGGGATTGATCATTATATGGTAGGTCCTGCCTCCTTGATTAAATCAAAATTATGTCTCTGTAATCTCATGGCAGGCTCTGCCTCTTTGATTATGTGGAAGACTATGCC